ACAGAAACATCCCTTTGTGTTCAGAAGACAGAAAACCTCCATCTCTAGACGTCCACTCTACAACCCCATCGCAGACAAGGCTGACTTTATCCACTTCCACAGATGGTCACAGAAAGGATTTACGAGTGGGCAGATAAAAAACAAAAAACGTACAGAAGAGGGCGATCATTTTGTTCAGAGAGGTTTAACGAGGCCGAGTTGTTGCTCAGCGTCATACGTAAGAATGAGCCTGAGGCAGCTCCTCGCTCTGACGCAGGACAGGAATCCTCTCTGAATGCAGGGAGGGATACCGAGGTGTCATGGTGTCACCTGGAGGTATTAACAGGAGAGAGTTAGTGATGTAAGAAGGTCTCTCATTTCGAAAACCGATTACCTCCTCAAGAGCTGTTGACCCCTTCAGACTGACTGCCAGGCAAATAAATGAATGACACTGTTAGCTTCAAATTACACCCTCTGGAAAGCTAATTGTTCAATATCCCTCTCTGATGAATGACAGGGATTTGTGTGTCAACTGCATGTATTAGCATAAAATGTATGTTGATCATATGGTCCTGGATTTTATTCCTGCAGCTGGGCGGGCTAACCCTGCTCGCCATGGGGATCTGGGTGAGCGTGGATGGCGGCTCCTTCCTGAGGCTGCTGGGGCCGTTCTCGGGCGAGGCCATGCAGTTTGTCAACGTGGGATTCTTCAGCATCGCCATCGGGGGAGTGCTGATGCTGCTCGGGTTCCTCGGCTGTTGTGGGGCGAAAAAGGAGAGCAAGTGCCTGCTGCTCACGGTAAACTATGGTTATCTAAGAAGTGTTCTCAAGACGTTTAGTTTCTGTGTCTGTACCTTTAAATATGTAAATGAGCTGTGTCTAACCACGCCCCCTCTCTGGAAGGGCTTGGGTGTTTCAGTCTTTCTTGCTCCATGTCCTATTGTTTACGGTGAGAAGGCAGACTCAGAGGGCAGAACAAACACCTAGCTGTGGGAATGTCACCCACCTGGGGGAGGGGCTACTGCCCTTTGTGATGTCATGAAGGGAAAATTTCCAAACAGCCTGTTTGAGCACACATTTTCTGAAAAGTGGAAAAGACAGAGAATTTGAGTCATAATTTTTAACCCACTTTTTCTATTTTTTTCTCTTTTTTTTCTATATTTTCTATTCCATAACTTTAACCTGAACCCAAATGTTTTACCTGAACATCGTCTGACAAAGGAAGAAATAACAGGCGCTGGGCTGAACATGCTTGAGGCTAAGGTTATTTTTTTTTTTTTTGAATTGCCTGCTTATATTTGTAATACTACATCTACGGCGAGATATATAAATAATAAAAGTGAGTTTCCCTGATCTCTGCTCAGTTGAACGTATCCTAATAGGACTTTAAAAAAAAAGAAAATCTTGTGACCATTGATGAAACTTTTAAAAAGTGCAAATTGGACGTGAAAAAAAAATAGAGGAAAGTCGGGATGCTGTTTTGAATCTGTCCACGATGAGTTGCAGTTTTTGCTAACTGCCATAAAGAGAAATAAAGTGAAACATTAAAGATACTTGGACTTTATCAATATGTAAAACATGAAAAGCAGCAGATCTCCAAAAGTATCCGGGATGTTTTTTTATTTTTGATAAATCCGACTTGCAGGTTCTTGAACCTTCCGTTGACTTGTTGATTCATCATTGCACCTTTAGATTTTGTCTTTGGAAACTGGAAAAAACAAAGATTATTTTATCGTCTGTATTTGAGTCATTTCTCTTTTTTTTATTTCTGCAGTTCTTCTCCATTATCCTCATCATCTTCATTGCTGAATTGGCGGCCGGTGTGGTGGCTCTTGCCTACTCCTCATTCGTAAGTTCCCCACTTCACCTCTTGCCTCTTTCTTTCATTCACTGCCTCATCACACCCCCTTCCTCTCGCCTCCTTCACGCCCGTCTCTTCACTCCCTTTCCTTTGTCTCTTAATTCTTACCGTCCCTCACTGTCTTTTTCTGTCACCCTCTCACCTCCTCGTCCCACTCTCTGGATTTTATCTCCGTGTAAATTCTCCATTATAGCCGCGACCATCATTGAATTACTGGCTTTATGTCCGCCTCACTACATTCGGCTACTTAATGACTCTGGGATAGCCCGGGGCCGCGCGGCGTCTCTAACTTTCAGCAATTTATTATTCTGGAATATTGTAGCTAAAGCATTTTATATGCAAAACAGCCTATTTACATATATGTCCCTCTCTTTCTCTCTCTCTCTCTCTCTCTCTCTTACTCGCTCACACACACACACACACACACACACACACACACACACACGTGCCCCATTTCCATTTAGTGCCACGTATAAGAATTACAAGGATTTCAAATGAGCTATGTAAAAGGAGGTTAGTGAAGACCGGGACCCTAATAAAGAAAATATAAAGTGGAGTTTTTTTATCCAATCAGAGGATGTATCTGAGTCTCTTGCAGACAGAGAGCTAATCTAGCAAACCTCCATCGGCAGCAGGGAGCTGATGAACAGAAGGGAGAGCACTCTGCACTGACTCGGATTGTCATTTGTCTGTGCTGGTGTTGTTGCTAAACCAGTTAAGCAGCAGCTGCACATATCTCTAGACGGCCTCATATCTTTTATAGGGAGCATCATTTCAGTGTTTAGCTCGTTTATTTAGCGACACAAATAAAACATCTGGATCCCTTGGAGACATGCACACGTATTTCACATTTTCTACTGTCAGTCTGCATGAACTCAAACTAATACATTCCTATTAATAATAATAATAATAGTAATATTAAATTAGCCTTTGATGTGGCGATGTTAAAGAGGTGTGCAGTAAGCACATCATGAGGGATTTCAGATGGAAAGCTGTTTCCATGTTCACAAAAACTCTACATTCATTTGTCTATTTTAGCCAAAACCAACAGAATTATAATCGGTTAAACTACCCATCCATCCATTATCGCAAACCACTGCACCACTGTGCAGCCCTCCGTTACACTGTAAGATTTAATGCAGCCAGCTACCACTAGCTGGGGCTGTAGCACCTGTTAATGGCTACAGCCATGGTGCTCTACTACCTGGATGTAAAGCAGCAAAGTGGACAGGTAGCATCTCTTATGAGCAGAAAGGTTCGTCAAAATTTTTGATAAAAGAAACGGAGATGAAGTTGAATGTAGGCTGTTTAAGTTTACACCTGAATATAACCATTCTGCAGGGATGGCTGAAGGCTGACGGTGCTAGCACTGCTAACGTTAGCCACATTCACAGACCGATCGCTGGCTGTGTTGTTGTCAGAGCCGTGTTTACATGGACGGGACGGCCGGCTCCTCCCCTTGTGTATAAAAGCTGTTTTAGTCAAGAACTAGAGAGAAGAAGAAGAACATACTCACTGATTATTTGAGTGACGTTAGCGTTTTTAGATCACGCTCATTCCATGTAAATGTACATGCAATGTGAAGCTACGAGCTAACTAAAGAGCGCTAACATTAGCAAGCTAACACAACAATGTGAAGCTACGAGCTAACTAAAGAGCGCTAACATTAGCAAGCTAACACAACAATGCAGGACACAGGTGCTTGCAGCTCCAACAATGTACAATTTTGTCCGCCGCTTGTGCTTAACTCCTTCATGCAAACTCGAGGGGAAGGGGGTTGGAGGTGTGTCTCTGGAGGAGGGCGGAGGCTTCAGTATGGAGGAAGCGTGGCCAAGCAGCAGTTTGTTTTTGTTTCATTCTGGTGCTCAAGGCAACATCTACTGCATCAGAAAGTTGTCTTCCTTTAACTTTAGAAACTTGTCTGCCTTTAAATTTGTGTTCAATGTTTGCTATCTAAAGATGACAGGTTCAAATGTGTTCACTGTACCAGCAGAAGATTTCGTTAGAAGTTTTTAGGACGCTTTTTTGCAGTGCAAAGATGTTCCTTCCTCGTCCCCTCTGTCCTTTTCTCTCAGTTATCAAATATGCCCAGTCCTGTCATAATGAAGCCTGCTCCTACACAGAGCAGCTGAGTGTGTGTGTGTTGGGCTTTGTGCGTGCATATGTCCTTGGAGGCTGAGTTGGTAGAGATGATGCTGCTGCTGTTTGGGCGTCTTTGTTGAGATAAATCTGTCCTATCTCTCGCCTGTCATCTCCATAAGCTGAGTTAACCAGCGCAAGCAAATGAAACGGCGAGAGAGAGAGAGAGAGAGAGCGAGAGAGAGAGCGAGAGAGAGGGGGGCATCGACAAAAGCCAGCGTTCCAATAAAACAAGAGAGAGAGAGAGGGAAGGTGCAATGAAGTGTGAGACATAACTCATAGATTTGTCTTCTTTAAGGAGATCATAGATATGGTTTAGAGTCAATTTAACGCTCTGTTTGTTGGCTTTAGCGTCATCTGTTCATTACAAACACAAAGGACATCTTCAGCTCCATCACGGATATGAGTGTGTGAGAGCAGCTGTCCATCTCCTGCTTTTGATAAGACACAGTAAACACAATAGCATCGGAATAATGAATATGGGTCATATACATCTAATATGCATATATATAGCTGCTCGTGTCAATAAGTAAGAGACAGAGGCGCAGGAATAAATAAAGCGTTGATCTTTGTGCTCTACTTATCTGAGACATAAATCTGCCTTTTGGAAACCGGGGGCCCCCGCAGCTCATCTGAGCAAAGAGCCAATAACCTTCAGGAGGTCCAAATAACGCAGATTTAATAAGCTATTCCAGCGGGCATTATGAGAGGCCGTCAGTGGTCATGGTTGTTCTTTCTTCGCCAAGTGATTGGGAAGTGACCAGGGAGGAGATTTATTAGATGGGGGGGGGGTTGATATGGTCTTCACAGCGGATGAATGGAATGGATGTGATGTGTGCGTTTAATGAATCACGCCGACCTCCCTGAGCAGTAGAGGAATGTGATTTCCAAAACGTAATCCAATACACATCGCTGTTTCCTGAGTTGGACGTGTGAGATGATTAGCTCCAATTACTTTTAATTTAAAGCTGCATCAATCAATATATTTACATTAGCAATGGAGACCTTAAGGGGGTCATACAGATGTTCCCTCAGTCCTTCATTCCCCTCCAACATCAGGGCTGGCCTTCCTATCATGCACATAATGTGTTGATGCACCCAACACCCTTCACCTCCGTCTCCTCGGTGGAGGTGCATCGCCTCTCTCTGCCGCCATGGTTCTCTCTTCAGTGAGTGTCTGGATCGATGAATATTCACAGAAGAAGGATGGCGCACTTACTCTGCATCATTCACCGTCTGTGTCTCACTCAAAGTGGTCAAGTTGAAAAATTTCGACTCAACTTAAGCTGGTGCGCAAATTAGGTTAGTAATAATCAGAGGGAACATAGGGCTGAGGAAGCATAGGACTGAGGGAACATAGAGTTTAGGGAACATAGGGCTGAGGAAGCATAGGGCTGAGGGAATATAGAGTTTAGGGAACATAGGGCTGAGGAAGCATAGGGCTGAGGGAATATAGGGCTGAGGTAGCATATGGCTGAGGGAACATAGGGCTGAGGGAACATAGGGCTAAGGAACATAGGGCTGAGGAAGCATAGGGCTGAGGGAACATAGAGTTTAGGGAACATAGGGCTGAGGAAGCATAGGGCTGAGGGAATATAGAGCTGAGGGAACATAGAGCTGAGGTAGCATAGAGCTGAGGGAACATAGCTAAGGGAACATAGCTGAGGGAACATTGGGCTGAGGAAGCATAGGGCTGAGGGAACATAGAGCTGAGGGAACATAGCTAAGGGAACATAGCTGAGGGAACATTGGGCTGAGGAAGCATAGAGCTGAGGGAACATATGGCTGAGGGAACATAGGGCTGAGGAAGCATAGGGCTGAGGGAACATAGGGCTAAGGGAACATAGGGCTGAGGGAACATAGGGCTGAGGGAACATAGGGCTAAGGGAACATAGGGCTGAGGGAACATAGGGTTAAGGGAACATAGTGCTGAGGGAACAAAGGGCTTAGGGAACATAGGGCTGAGGGAACATAGGGTTAAGGGAACATAGGGCTGAGGGAACATAGGGTTAAGGGAACATAGGGCTGAGGGAACATAGGGTTAAGGGAACATAGGGCTGAGGGAACATAGGGTTAAGGGAACATAGTGCTGAGGGAACAAAGGGCTTAGGGAACATAGGGTTAAGGGAACATAGGGCTGAGGGAACATAGGGTTAAGGGAACACACACACAGAGGTCAAGCTTGCGGCCTGGGTCTCAGGCCTTGACAAAGAGTCATCGAGGAGTCCTCATAATCATAAGTTTATTTGATGTTTAGTCACAATCTGTGACTCTGTGGACAGAAGATGAAGCAGAGACAGGACGTCTGCTTCCCTTCTCATACTCCCTCACTTCCACTCAGTTTTCATTATTTTTCCGACACAGACCGTCTGGAACTATGACTGATGCCTCGTCTTATAACAAAGAGACGCTCAGCTGAACACAATAAGGTTTTCAGTTATTGCTTTTCTTCTTAACAACAAGAACCAATTAGCAGCAGGAGAAGATATCGACGCTGATTTAAAAAAAGAGCAACAAGAGATCAATAACACCGAGCTGGAGACTTTTATCATGTGTGCAGGACGTGCTCACGTTACTGTACTGATAGATGTGTTATTGTGTCCCGCTTCACTTCACTGTGTGTTACTATGGGCTTTGTCCTGTCTGTTCCACGTGTGTGTGTGTGTGTGTGTGTGTGTGTGTGTGTGTGTGTGTGTGTGTGTGTTTAACGGGATGTAGTGAGGCACGTTGCCGAGTGACAGTGATGAATTAGCCGGCTGGTAATAACCCTCTCTGATCTCAGCCTCTCTCCCAGATTCTTGGGGGGCATTTTTAATTGTGGCATGTATCCCAGCATCCCTTTGGGCATCTCGTCCGCGTGGCCCTTTCACTGTACACACACTCACACACATGGTCACACACACACACACACACACACACACACACACACACACACACACACACACACACACACACACACACACACACACACACACACACACACACACACACACAGGAGTGGGAATAATGCACATTCAGGCACATAAACTTGATAGACACACGGTTGCAAGCGACCACAGGCACCTACAGCAAAGGGAACTCTCTCTCCTCATCAAACGGGTCTTTGTGCGACTGTACGCGACGGGATTATTAATCAAAATGGAAAAAACAGAGGAGAGGAGGAGGGGAGGAGGGGAGGAGGGGAGGAGAGTGAACCTGTGTCAGTCCTCCTCCTGCCTTAAACATCACCTGGCTTTTGGAAAAACAAAATGTGTCCTGACCAAAGCCATCAGGAGCATCAATATATATGTAAATGTAACCCCTCCCATCCGCTTAGGACCATAAAAAGGAGAAGAAGAAGAATGGAGAATAATGGCTCGGTCAATTTTTTGATTTATTTTCGTTCTTTTTTTTCCAGGTGCTGGTGGGCTGTTTATTTCCCCGGTGCTTTGTGTGAGAGCAGATTTATTTAATTTCTGATGAATAGGTGACTCCCTGAGAATTACCTTTCCTAGCCGTGAAATTTGCTGCAGTGTTTTATTTTCACGGGGTGTGTAGACTTCAATGTGTGTGTGTGTATATGTGAGACAGTGATGGCCTTTGACAGTGAAGACAGGAGACAGGAGACTGTGTGCATGTAAAGTCATCTCATCTTCATGACATGGAAACACACTTTGAAATGCTCGGGCTGTGGTTTGTTTTTGTATTTTTAAGAATCTTAAAGAGGACATATTCTCCCCCTCCTCCACCTTTTCAAACAGTCCCATCCTCCACCTTTTCAAACAGTCCTCCTCCACCTTTTCAAACAGTCCTCCTCCACCTTTTCAAACAGTCCCCTCCTCCACCTTTTCAAACAGTCCCCTCCTCCACCTTTTCAAACAGTCCTCCTCCACCTTTTCAAACAGTCCCCTGTTGTCTAAATGAAACATCTGTGCTGTACTTTGGTCAAAACATAACATGAATCAAGCACCAGAGGAGGTTTGTGACCCTGTATAAACCAGCTCTCTCAGAACGCTCCGTTTTGGTGTGTGTGTCTCTTTAAATGTAATGACCCCGCCCCTGAGTTTTCCCAGTAGACATCACTCCTTCACTAGCGAGAATAAAAATGGTGGACCTGTGCTAAAGTTTTGTTCTAGTCTGGGGGTGGAGTCCGTGGGTGGAGATATCAGGGGAGGGGAGGGGACTTTTTTTTTTACCAGAATCCCACTGTGACATCACAAGGGGAGCACATTTGAAACAGAGCATTTTTCTCTGTGTTGTAAGACTTATGCAGACCACAAACAAAGGACTGGATGGGTTTATTTCACATGTTGTGGGTCAGTAGACTCTCAGGTTACCCAGATATATGTTCAACAACACTGTACAAGTGGATTTTTAATAATATGTCCCCTTTAAATCTTCATAGGAAGTGTGAAAGATGATTCTCCTTTAATCTGCTCGTCTCAGTCCGGTCAACAAATCACTGGACTGCATGAAATGGACTTGAGCTTGTATATTTATTTTCTAGTCTTTTGACTACTCAAAGATCTTTTACACCACAGGTCACACCTACACATTCACACACTGATGGTAGAGGCTGCTGAGTGAAGAGTCCATCAGTATTAACTCATCCATTCATACACATTCATACACTGCCGATGAAGCAGTGGGAGCTACTTGGGGTTAAGTGTCTAAGGACACATCAGACATGTGGCTGCAGGAGCTGGGGATCGAACCCCTGACCTGCCGGTTGAGAGACAAGTAATATACATTATATATAATATTTTATGTTTGTGTGTGTGTCTCCAGGCTGAGGGCATCCTCCGAGCATGGGCGACCCCTGCCTTAAAGTCTCATTACGGCAGTGAACCTGTGGTGACCAAGATGTGGAACTCGACCATGACGGAGGTAGAGTACACTCTCCATATATTCAGTATGCATGTCCAATATTCCTGCTGAACCACAAGGTCACATCATCAGGTTATTTTTAAATTAATTTCCCCCTTTATGCAGAACATTTTTTTCTCTACAATAAAATCAACAAACTGAGTCTTAAACTTTGCGCTCAATCTATAACTATTGAACTTCTCCCACAGAAGGCACCTTGTTTTTGCCATTAAAATTCAGATTTTAAGAAACTGATCTGCCCCTAAATTTAACTGGTTCTTTTATGGCCCATGTTAAACCACTACATCCATGAAAATACGGCTGGTACTTTTTATTTTATTCAGCTTGCAAACAGACACCATCAAAAACATTTCCTCCTCAGCCGGTGGGAAATCAAGTTACAATCAATTTAAAAAAAAAAATGTAAAGAATGAAAATGCTCCGAGCCGGGCTGTTTTCATAGTAAACACTTCAGACTCTGAAACGCGGCTCTGCTGTGACCTTCACTGAACTGAACTTTAAAAAATGCGAGTCGCTTAAGTGCAAATATAAATTCCAACAAAAGCCGATAACCGTCCATATTTTGGTGGATAATCTGCGTCTGCTTTTTGTCTGTGGGCTCACCTCTGCTCACCTGCACATTAAAGCTTCAGTCGGGGAACTCGGTGAGCTTCTTCTCTTATCTTTACCAACAAAGACCATTCTCACTGGGGTCAAAGGTCACTAATGGTGAGGTTTAGTGAAACAAAAAATAAATTTCCCTCTACCCTTCGCAGTGTGAAGCTCGGTAGAATGTTCTATTGTTTGCAGCTTTTAGGCAATTTAATCTCCATGAAAGCTTCTGTTATTGATGTTAGCTCTACACATTTGATATTAACGAGGTGTCATGGTCACAAACAGAATTTACTCTTAATTGTTTTCAATTGTTCAATTGTTCTGTACACCTGTTATATCAACAGAGTAAATCAAACGCTTGACGTTCATTAAGTGGAGCTTGATCTTTTTCTTTTCCCTCTCTCTCCCCCAGCTCAATTGTTGCGGTTTCACCAACTACACAGACTTCGTGGGCTCCAAGTTTGAAAAGGAGAACGGAGGAAATGTACCGCCCACTTGCTGCTCGACAAACAGCACCACCTGCAGCAAGGCGGAGGCAGAGCGCAGCGCTGTGAAGGTTTGAATCCACCACTCATATTCAAGATAGATGCAGTAGCTTTATCCATCCATCCATTCATTCTCTATACCGATTTCCTGTTTGGGGTTGTGGGATGCTGGAGCCAATCCCAGCTGTCATTAGGACTAGTCGCTAGCCAATCACAGGCTTGACGTATAGAGACAGACAACCAGCCAAACTAACATTCACACCTACGGGCAATTTAGAGTCAGCAGTTAACCTAACGAGCATGTCTTTGGACTGTGGGAGGAAGCCGGAGAACCAGGAGAGAACCCACTCATGCATGGGGAGAACATGCAGACTCCACACAGAGAGGCTCCTGTCAGACGGGGATTCAAACCAGGAACCTCTTCACTAACCACTGCACCACCGTGCAACCCTCAGTTGCTTTATCCTAAAATAAAAATAAAAAGTACAAAAGTAAAGCTGCTCAATCATCACTTCTTGGCCTCCTTACATGTGTGGCTGTGACTGCGTCTGCAGAGACTCTGGGGTAAACGAGAGTCTGAATCATACTACATGCCTTTGATTCCAACAGTTGTTGAGATATAAGTCTTTCTTGTTTCTTGTTGGGGTGGTTCAAACGCTAGCTAGATTTTGGATTGCAGGTCAAAGAAATTCACAACTTTTCATTTGGAACCAAAAACTCTGATTTAATAAAATGTATTAAATTGGATTCAAAATCATCCAATAATAAATTGATAGTAAGAGAGAGCGAGCCTGAGTTTTTAATGAATGAAAAGGATATATTAAAACAAATTAAACGTGTTATTTTGAAGTTTGTGCCCTCATTGTGTGTGATGATCAAACCTTCTCTTCCACAGGGCTGCTTCGAACACATCCTGAAGACCCTCAAAGAGCACGCCAACATCGTGGGAGGCATCGCAGCAGGAATCGGAATCATGGAGGTAAATTCACTTGAAAAGAGAAGGCTGCAAAATCCAAAGCTTTAAAATCCCCAAATAAGAAAAGTCGACGTGTAAATGTAGTCATGGTCACGTCTCTATTTGTGACCATGAAAGAGATGCACGATGTCTGGAGGGGGTTTCCCTCAGCAGAGTCAAAATAAACCAAAGACAACGTGACGGAAACATAAACTCTAGTCCGTCTACAAACCCCAATGATGAGGAAAGTCCATCCTCTCCGTCTTTTGCCTGCTCCACTTTTCAGAAAATGTGTGCTCAAACAGGCCGTTTGGAGATTTTCCCTTCATGACATCACAAAGGGCAGTAGCCCTCCCCCAGGTGGGTGACACTCCCACAGCGAGGTGTTTGTTCTGCCCTCTGAGTCTGCCTTCTCACGCAAACAATAGGACACGGAGCGAGAAATACGAGTACATCCGAGCCCTTCCAGAGAGGGGGAGTGGTCAGACACAGCTCATTTACATATTTAAAGGTACAGACACAAACAGCCTGTTCTGAGCAGGGCTGAAATAGAGGGGTTTATAGACATGATCAAATACAGGATCAGAGTGGATTTAGAACAGAAACTTCACACACATGTTTTGAGGAGCTCTGAGATTTATTTACACTGAAGAAGAGGAGGAGAACAAAGTGATTAATATTGACGCCATCTTGTTTCCTCAGATTGCTGCCATGATCGTGTCCATGTACCTGTACTGTCAGCTGGACAACAGAGTCAGCTGAGACTCCGGACAAAGACAACTAACACACAAAGAACATGTTGCTTGATTCAGCATTACGTACCTTATATCACTTACTACACATAAATATAAATATATATCAGGGCTGACAGTGTTAATGTGTTATTTGCCATGTTTTGTCCTTCAGGCTCTCCGTAGATAGTCGTCCTCAGTGTCTCCCTGTAGTCTCAGTGATGTAAAAAAAGGACGCTGCTGCATCTTTGAATGTCTCATTTCACTTTAACAAACTCTCAGACAGCTCAGCTGACGAGTCAAAGTCATATCCACCTTATGACATCATACATTGACCTTATGACATCACACATTGACCTTATGACATCACACATTGACTTTTGTTACCTTTCCTTTAAGCTCATTTTGTAACTTTTGATCTAATGGCAAGTAAGTACTTTCAGATTAACAGTAAAAAAAATCAGCTTGATTCTATTGTTTCCTATTGGAGTTTCCTAACATTAATTTTTGTCCACCCTCAAAAAAAGCACCACACTTCTGTTTGTACACCTTCAAAACAAAGTGCCACATTTTTATGTCTACAGGGGAAAT